GGAGACATAGCTTCAGACGCTGGGGAAAACGTGCTGGTCAGCTGGTGAAGATTAAAGCCCTGCGCACTGCAGTTTCCTCTTCAGCTGGCGGTCATGGTCTCCATTACCAGCTTCCTGCGTGCCCGGACCAGGTAACCAAAGGGAGTTGTCGGCCGGTGCGCAGCTCGGGCCGACCTGGAGGGGCTGTTATTGAAAATCTGCGGCCATTAGCGCGCGCTAACTCCACCGCTGCTTGCTCCACTTTGGACAGTATCCGGATGTGTTTGGTCAACGCAAGATCTGTTACCAACAAAACTTTTATCCTCAGGGACTACTTTCAAGAGCTCGAGTTAGACTTTCTGTGCATCACAGAGACTTGGATGTCTCCGGGTGAGTCCAACGCCTTGACGGAATTATTGTCACGAACTGTTTGTATTTTAACGCACCGCGGCCATCAGGCCGGCGTGGTAGTGGATTATTAACAATATTCAAATCAACTTTTGACTGTAAACAGCTTCCCATCCCAGTTTCCCACGCCAGCTTTGAGCTGAGTGTCTTTGAGCTTGGACATTCACCTCCGACTTTATTTGCACTCGTCTACCGCCCACCTCGATCTAAGGACTTCATAAATTAGTTTTCTGACTTCTTATCTGAAATCACACCAAAATATGAGCATGTTTTCATTATTGGGGACTTTAATTTGCACGTTTGCTGTCTGGAGAAGCCCTTGGTTAAGGACTTTTTAGATTAAATGGACTCATTTAATTTAACTCAGCATGTAAACGGTCCCATCCAAGAGTGCGGACATACACTGGACCTTGTTTTAACTCATGATGTGACTATTAGTAATCTTGTTATTGGTGATAATGTTTTTTCAGACCACATGCCAGTCCAGTTTGAGTTCACCCTCCCCCATCTAACTCCTAAGTTGTGCATTCCTGAACATAGCAACCGGGCAATTAACCATTTCACTGCCGCACATTTTACAGATGTTTTTAACTCTGAAATGATAATTCAGCCCCCAGTGTTTCTCACCACCACTGAGGAACTGACATCCCAGTTCAACTCTGTCTGCTTAAAGACTCTGTATCATGTTGCACCTGTTAAAACCAAAAAAAACAAAACTCAGAGCAGAAACTTGGCTGAGTGACGTCACCAAGGCCGTTAGGCAGCAATGTAGGAGGGCGGTGCGAAAGTGGAGGAAAGACAGGCTGCAGGTCTCTTTTCAAATACTTAAAGAGAGTTGGCGCCGTTATCAGAAAATAGTGAAAGCTGCAAAATCCAAATACTTTTCTGATATAATTGCCTCAAACTCTCGCAACCCACGTGTCCTCTTCTCCACCCTAAACTCTGTTCTCTACCTCACTGAACCATCTACTCTGGTAGCCTCGACTGAGCTGTGCGACAACTTCTTACATTTCTTTTTGGAAAAAATTGCGACCACCAGGGCTCTCATTTCCCCTCCAACACATGACCCATCCATCCCACCTCAGTCTGTAGCTCCATTTGACCATTTTGAACCCATCACTCTATCTTCTCTAGAGCAGGTCATGTGCAGCTTGAAACCTTCTGGCTCCCCCTTTGATGTGGTCCCCCCTCGACTACTAAAGGAGGTTTTTCCCACTCTAGGTCGTCCATTCTTGATATAGTAAACAGTAGTTTATCCACTGGCGTGGTGCCAAAATCCTTTAAACATGCTGCTGTCCTGCCTCTCCTGAAAAAAACAAACCTTGACCCCTCAGTTGTGTCCAACTTCCGGCCTGTCTCCAAACTCCCATTTGTTTCTAAAGTACTGGAGAAAATAGTCAACTCCCAGTTGAAGTGCTTCCTAGAAGGTCACACCATCTTAGAGCTATTCCAATCTGGCTTTAAACATCTCCACAGCACTGGAACTGCCCTGCTGAAGGTCTTTAACGACGTCTTCAGATCCACAGATACCGGTGATTCTGTGTTGCTTGTCCTATTGGACCTCACGGCCGCCTTCGACACCATCGACCATGAGATCCTCATTGCTAGGTCAGAGGACCAGTTGCTCCTCACAGTTCCAGGAACTCGTCTTAAGTGCAGAGGTGACAGGGCCTTCTCTGTAGCAGGACCAAGACTCTGGAACGAGTTACCTCTGCTTGTCAGACAGGCCCCTCGGTTTTCAAGTCCCGTTTAAAAACTCACTACTATTCAATAGCTTTCAACACAAGATGATCTGTGTTTTGATCCTTTATGCTCCACACTGGTTTGTCGTCATTATCTGCATCATTTTTTGTCTATATTCTGATTTACCTTTCTGACAAAAGGATCTGTCAGTGAGGTAGGATCTGAACCAATTGAGGGCTGACCCTGTGACACCCACCCACTGCTCTAACCTCAGGGAGCGTGGTGGGACATATGGTTGTAGCAAATCAGAGAGATGGGGGTGCGACACTGTTCAGTGATTTGTAGACATACATGAGTATTTTGAACTGGATTTGAAAGTGAACCGGTAACCAGTGCAGTGAGACCAAAACTGATGTAATGTGCTCTCTTTTGCCTGTATTGGTTAAAAATCGGGCTGCTGCATTCTGGACCAGTTGTAGTCGTGCAATGGAGGTCTGACTGATACCAAACAGGAGCAAATTGCAGTAATCAAGCCTAGATGTAATGAATGCATGTATTACTGTCTCCAGGTTCTTTTTGGACAATATGGGTTTCAGTTTAGACAGCCGCCTCAGTTGGAAGAAGCATGATTTAACAATCATGTTTACATGATTGTTAAGTTTCAGGGAAGGGTCCATTATCACTCCCAGATTAGTGACTCTTTGTTTTTCTGACAGGGTTTGAGCGGAGAGGTCGATGCAGTGGTTTGTGATCGTGTCATTGGGAGGGAACAACATGACTTCAGACTTTTTTTCATTGAAACTTAAGAAGTTTAAAGCCATCCAGTCCCTGATGTCAGCCAGGCAGTCGAGCAGTGGTTGAATCAAGCATGTACCATTGTGTCTTAGGGGGAAGTAAATTTGACAGTCATCAGCATAGAAGTGGAAGGGCATGTTGTGTTTCCGGAAAATAGCACCAAGCGGCAGCAGGTATAAAGATAATAGGAGGGGACCCAGTATGGACCCCTGCGGAACCCCCCATTTAAGCTCTGCCTCTGCGGAACTAAAATTCTTGATGGAGACACAAAAGGATCTGTCAGTGAGGTAAGATCTGAACCAATTGAGGGCTGATCCTGTGACGCCCACCCACTGCTCCAACCTAGCAATGAGGATCTCATGGTCGATGGTGTCAAAGGCGGCTGTGAGGTCCAACAGGACAAGCAGCACAGAATCACCGGTATCTGTGAATCTGAAGATGTCGTTAAAGACCTTCAGCAGGGCAGTTTCAGTGCTGTGGAGAGGTTTAAAGCCAGATTGGAATAGCTCTAAGATGGCGTGATCCTCCAGGAAGCACTTCAACTGGGACTCGACTATTTTCTCCAGTACTTTAGAAACAAATGGGAGTTTGGAGACAGGCCGGAAGTTGGAAACGACTGAGGGGTCAAGGTTTGTTTTTGTCAGGAGAGGCTGGACAGCAGCATGTTTAAAGGATTTTGGCACCACACCAGTGGATAAACTACTGTTTACTATGGCAAGAATGGACGGACCTAGAGTAGGAAAAACCTCCTTTAGTAGTCGAGGGGGGGACCACATCAAAGGGGGAGCCAGAAGGTTTCAAGTTGCACATGACATGCTCTAGAAAAGATAGAGTGATGGGTTCAAAATGGTCAAAAGGAGCTACAGATTGAGGTGGGATGGATGGGTCATGAGTTGGAGGGGAAATGAGAGCCCTGGTGGTCGCAATTTTTTCCACAAAGAAATGTAGGAAGTTGTCACACAGCTCAGTCGAGGCTTCCAGAGGTGATGGTTCAGTGAGGTGGAGAACAGTGATGATCCTCTTTTATCACGTGAACAGCTAGTTTAGGCTATCATCAGCAAACTGGTTGATTCACTATGAAAAGAGGTTATTTATAAGACTGAGTTTGTTGCAGATCCTCATACTAGCTATGTTTACATGCGCAAAATTTTTTGACCGGATTGAAATGTTTTCAGATTAAATAATCAAAATGTATCATTGACACGGGCACAAGCGTTTACATGCAGCGGGCTTTGCTCTGAACAGAAGTACTGACATGCACAGAGTAATTAGCCCTACTTTAAAAAAACACAGAAGAAGAAGTTCTACTTCCGGTTTACTTTCGGGATGAACGTAAATAAACCTGAGCTCCCAAACTGGACCCACGACAGGTTTTAATGACGATGGAGACATTACTGCACTCCCTGACTGAGCTACAGGTAATACAGATCCTTTTGAGCTCTTTCAAAGTTTCTAGTAGAAATGTTGTGTCGCTCACCGACCAGTTTTACTTCCCCGACATGCTATTATTATTAGCATTAGTCAGGCGGAAATGACATAGGTCAAACATGCACAGTCAGGTCAGTTTTTCACTATCAGAAAAAAATGAACTGATTAAGTGTTTACATGGATACCGTTAGGGTTATGAATCGGCGTAAACCACCCGTTTCGTTCTGATCGCAATTTTTTTCGGCTCACGCTGAATAAACAAAAAATAACCCGAACGGGGCGTTTACATGACACGTTTTTATTCTGAACGGCCATTGGATCAGATTATTTATGTCCATGTAAACATGGCTACTGAAGGTCTTTATGATAAAAGACGAAACGTTTTCAACAATTAAATTTTTTTTGTTTGTTTTATTTATTTTGTCCAGAGGACCAGAATTAACTTTGTTAGAAACTCTGTTTGTGCACTGTTTCCATGTGGACATGAGTCTGAAGTTGTAAAAAAATAGAAAAACGTTGTTTTTTGCTTGATGGTGGCCCAGCCTGCGATGGGCATCCTTTCTACTTTACACAAAGACCACGCTGTTTTAAAAGCCCACATATTTCCATCTTTTTCATCCTTAAAACAAAAGGTAGAACATGTTGTTCTTCACCTCCCAACCCTAACCCTACTGTACATAGGATGAAACCTGAAGAAGCAGACTCACCATGATGCCTCCTCCTATGAAGCCCCCCATGTACTTGACCTCTTCAGTGATCCGCGGTGCTCCTTTCTTGTCTTCTGCCGCATACTTTGTGTCGAAGTCAGGGAAGAAGAGCATGATGTTGCAGATGACCGACACCAGAGCCAAGACATAGAGGGGAATAGCGATAAACTTTGAGCAGGCGCCGGTACACATGACGAACTTTGCTGTTCAATGGTTTCAAACTTCTAAACGTCCGTACTGCCTCTATTGAACACTGAGAGTCAGGCGGTCCTGTGTCCACCCCGGTGAGTTTAGGTCCTTCAAAGATGGAAGCAGGAGGATGGTTTAAATATAAATAAATGAGTTGCAGGTTCAGGGTGGAGCCACCTCTGATAAGGATTATTTATTATCAGAGTTATGACGTGACCGATAGTTTCCATACATTCAGAGAAATAAAGCCTGTTCAACTCATTTAATTTGTTTGGGGTTTTTTTACCTGAAAGAAGGAAAATAATAAGAGAAATGATTAAATACAATTTAATTCAACAGTCATGTTCAACATATTCATGACTTCAGTCACAGGTTGAGTTTTAAAATGATTCAAACATGTGGTATCTCCTCCTGGACTGGACCTGCTCCAGAGGAACAGCACTGATAACACGGAGCACCGAGCCCACAGCAGAACCACCATTTATCTTATCAGCAGATGGACTTCAACCTCACACCATCAGGAGGTCTCTGAGACCTGATAGAAACTCCCAAACCAGCACCAGCAGAACCCACAAAGGTTCCATCTGCTCTGATCAATGAGCTGGAGGTCTTTCTGGACAACCACCACTCGTTGGCAACATGGCAGTCTCCCACGTCTCTCACATGTTTCCCACATGTTTACCACAAGTCCCCCCACATGGGGCGGCTGTGTGTGAGTGGTTAGAGCAGTTGTCCTCCAATGCAAGAGTTGTGGGTTCGAACCCACCAGCAGTCACATGCCGAAGTGTCCATGGGCAAGACAATGAACCCCTCATTGCCTCCGATGTGTGTCCCATCGGTGTATGAATGTGATAAAGCTCTGCTTAGTCTCTTTAGAATGATTTGTTCAATTAGCTTTGTAGAGATCTAGTAGAGTGCTGTATGAATGGGTAAATGAGGCACAGATTGTAGTGTAAAGCGCTTTGAGTATCTTGATTAGATAGAAAGGTGCTATAAAAGTACAGTCCATTTACCATTTGCAAATATCCCACATGCCCCCTACATGTCTCCTGAATGTTTCCCACATGTCTCAGATGTCTCCAGAATGTCTCCCAGATGTCTACATGTCTCCAGAATGATTTCCGCATGTCTCCTGAACACATCAGATGTCTCCTTCATGTCTCCTTCATGTCTCCTGAACATTTCAGATGTCTCCAGAATGTCACCCAGATGTCTCCCACATGTCTCCTACATGTCTTAGAGGTCTCTGGAATGTCTCCCACATGTCTCAGATGTCTCCAGAATGTCTCCCA